TGTGACGTATTTGTCACATTAAGAAAAATGTTAATGAGCTGCTTATTTAATTTAGCTGATTCAATTATTTTAGTGTTATATATTTAAATTACTGCTGCTCATTTCAAAGCATATTTCAACAAATGTAAACATAAAAATAATGTCAAATTAATTACATTGATAATGAAATGTATTTTGAAACTATTTTGCATACCTTTAACTAAAACAAGATGTTTATATCATATGTTGGTCCTATTTTAAGGTTATTTTATCTTTTTTGTAGTGAGAATAACATGAACAGAGGCGATAACGCATAACTGATGTGGTGATGCGATGAATGAACTAAATCATCTGTTATGCATTGAAGAGATAACACATAACATGTATATTGCATTGCAGTAACTTAGTCCGTTGTGCAGTGAAGAGATAACACATGACTGCATTGCATACAAGAACTAACTGAAGAGAAAAACATTGAAGAGAAAAATCATATATGCTGTTGCATAGCAATAAAATGCTAAGAGCTAACTGTTTCATTGTTTTGCATACAATAATTAACATATTGCGTTGTGCATAGAAGAAATTAAAGTGATAAATGTGATAACAATGGTATGATCAGAGTGATCAAGTTTTTATTTCACGGAGCATTGTATTGTTAGTTTGTATACAGTTTTATTGCACAATATACACATTTTTGCAATGTTATTGCACTACGTGCATGTTTAACCTCCAGTGTGAGGTAGTTATTTATTTGTATTCAGTTTGCACATTTTGAAGTTGTGAAAAATAAAAATCTAAAAATCAATTTCTGGTTAAACTTGAATGTTACAAAAGAGTTGTTGTAAAATGTAATGGTCACAGTTATGTGGTTTTGAAATATGTTGTGGCAAAGCAAATTAAATGCAAAACTGTATTACTTCTGAAAAAGGTTTTTGTTTTATCTTCCCAGAAAAGTAATCATTTTGATATATGTTGTGGAAAAGCAAATAAACAGGAAAAATTTAGCAAAAAAACGGACAAAATCTATTTTTTTTTTCAACTGAGAAATAAACGCCCAATGTAACATATATGTAACATTAAAAATTTATCATAAACTCCCAATGTCACATATATGTCACATTACAGATTTTTCACAAGGAGATGTTGTATTTCAAAAACAACTGCAGAAACATGTTATAAGTGGTCCATTTGGTATGTTTTATATGCCCCATAATTTTCCTATAAGGAGAAATTGGTCTGGGCTCTTATGGGTTTTAAGGTCAACGCCCTCTTGAGGTCCCTTTCATAACCAGTAATACTTACTGCAATCTACAGTAACACGTCAAAAGAAATCATATTTAACGTGTTGTGAACGCAGTCTAAATTAAGTGTACTAAGATACAAGACTGTACTATGAACAATGTAACATATATGTAACATTAAAAATTTATCATAAACTCCCAATGTCACATATATGTCACATTACACAAGGAGATGTTGTATTTCAAAAACAACTGCAGAAACATGTTATAAGTGGTCCATTTGGTATGTTTTATATGCCCCATAATTTTCCTATAAGGAGAAATTGGTCTGGGCTCTTATGGGTTTTAAGGTCAACGCCCTCTTGAGGTCCCTTTCATAACCAGTAATACTTACTGCAATCTACAGTAACACGTCAAAAGAAATCATATTTAACGTGTTGTGAACGCAGTCTAAATTAAGTGTACTAAGATACAAGACTGTACTATGAAGTTATGGCAAGAAAACATGTCAGTATTTTCCTTCTCTAGCAAATAAGTAGATCCGGTTATTAAATCATTCAAAACTTGAACTTATGAGTTACTAGTTTAGAACAGTCTGATGAATCCTTAATCAACTAGTTAATCACAATAACAACCTTAGTATAATGAAATAACATATACAGTGCGACCAGTGTCCGATTCAAAAGCAAATGACTCCTATGACTCTACTTTTTAGATACAGTTGATCGTTTATATCACATGTCCTATGCCCCTTGGTTGTCTTTTCGATGTGAGTATTACTGTTGGACACATTATGCTTTTTCATATATGAACTATGCTTTTTCCCTTATCAGTTTTACAGTTTCAAAGAATACTATGGACATGTACTGTTTTTGCCTACTACTGTATATAGTAGGGAAGCAGGCATTAACACATGGACATGGACTCCACAACTTTATTAAAATATGTACAGAACCAAAATCCCTGACTACATGAAATGTTCTAAAACATTTTGCATAAAAGCATAAAGAATTGTGCATGCATAAATAAACAAAAGCAAAGAAAACAGTGACACTAGGCGCGTTTCCATTACCCTTCAAATTGCGCAAATTGAAATTGCGAATTGAAAATACGCCTAATGGGAACGCGTCAGAATGTACTTATAACCTCCAAGAAACACTTCATAAGTGTCCGCGCTCCAGTATAAGGGTCTTTCCTACCATTAATGCTTAGACAATTTACACTGCACACGTCTGCGGTGCAGTGTGGCTCTGATACGGTCACTGAAGCTGATTACGGCCACTCAATGCTTGTGTTTATGTTTTTATACAGTCTATGGTTTATTCCAGCCGCGCCACGCACGTTTCTGAAGCGGCTCTCTTTGCTGCTTCTGTAAAGATACACGCATAAGCCTCCTTTGAATAAATATAGCCAAAATCCATTGCCATGACTTATCGCGAGAGGCAAAAGTTTACGTTTAAGCCTCATAACATTGGTTAATGGAAACGCCGTCATTTCGCAATACTTTTTTATCGACATTTATAAAATATCGCCAAAGTTTTGTGCAAATCTGTAATGGAAACGCGCCTAGTAACAAGAAATCATTGGCCAAAAAGTGACTTAAAAGTGCAAAAAGGAACAGGAGTGTGCCTCAGATATCGTCTTCCGTGACCAGGCAGTAAAAGTCAGTGCGTGCGGCATAGTCCCTCGAGCCGAGGTCAGACACGTCTATCTCTGGGGGTTTGGGTTCAGCCGTCACACTGGGACCTGCAGGAAGCACCGGAGCTTTGGAGGGAAGGGTCTTGTAGATGGGCAAACGCAAACCTGTGAAGGAAACACATTTTACAATAAAATGTTATAATTGATATGTAAACTTATATGTGAAAATACGCAATTTGGTGAAGCTGCTGATATTTATAGGGCCAATTTTACTAGCATATTAATAAGCAGCAAATTACCAGTTTATTAGGACAAAGGTCGTATTTAATAGTGAGAATTGGACCTTAAAATAAAGTGTGACCAAAAGTATAAACTATCAATCGTACGACAGAAGGCATCTACTGTAGTAGATTGTGTACAACAGTTTTTTCAGCAAAGTTTTGATCATGTTAATAATTTAGAGGCATAAATCTAAAGAAATTTGCATATTAAATATAATAAAGTAGGCTTTAGTGTTAAAAAGTGTATGGTTTGTCTTAAAGGGACAGTTCACCCTAAAATAAATTGAAGAAGCATTCTTCAAAATATCTTAATTTGTGTTCCACAGAATAAAAAGTCACACAGTAAATGAGTGAATGATTTTTGGGTGAACTATCCTTTTAAAGGAAGCGTAATCCAGATCATATGTCATTGTTGGAATGACACTGAATGAAGATAAACTCTGTTGGGTGAAGAAGAAGCACATTTCGTACCCAGGTCTCCTGCGGGATCGGGGTCCGGTCTGCAGTCCAGGTAATCGGGCTGCTGCGTGAGCATGGGATCTTTATCGCCCTGCAGCAGAGTCTGCGGATCGCCGACAGATTCCCTGTGAAACGTCACCTTAAGCGGCATCGCCAACGTGAGCTCCTTCCAGAAGCCTGAAGAAGGGGTCTGTGGGAAGGGAACGAGAATGATTAGGCTTCTTCTTACCCTAAATCTCACAGATGTATTGAGCACTGCGAGGGTCTCACTATGGAGTGTGCGCCCCAGGTGAGGGTTGTGATTCGGGGCTGGTGTTGTTTCAGCTGGTGACTGATGTCCTGGCTCATTTGCTTCTGCTGTGACTGAAATATGATGAAGATGGGCTTCCTCGACAGCTCGATCAAGTGCCACAGACCCTGTCTGAACATTAAAAACAGCATCTAACGTTAAAGGTCCCCTGAAGTGCCTTGAAACACGCAGAACTATTCTATGCGGTGACGTAATTTCAACTGAAACAGAAAGAGAGGGCGGGACATATCAAGCATTTTTAAAATAGCCAATAGCATTTCGTTTATATCTGCTCGGGCCAGAGCCGTTGAGTTCGGTAAAGCCGCATTTGAGAGCCACAGTCTAATAGATTACCCCCTAGATTCAATATGAAACTCTTAGTAAAACAAAATAGTGGTCATAATCATGCTGAGGCTGTGTAGTTGTAAAAGTTTTTAATACATGCCGACTCGCGCATATGATCCGCTCCGTGTGATTGGGTCTCTGGACCGGCGCCAAAGTCCAGATCAGACTGTGTGCGCTGCCGCGGTTCGCGTGAAACCAGACCTCATTTGCACCAATCAAAAGCATATTTACACGGTCTGAATCGTTCCCTATCGCCTATATTGTGCACTACGAGCCATTCACTGTACAGGAAATACTACACTGTGAACAAGTGACCGGTCTCAGTCGGCGCTTCAGCGTCTATTTATAGTGCAGATCTATTTATACAGATTCTAGAGAGCATTTGATTGGTCAGAAGATTTGATGAGAAGATGAAGTACGATGTGCCGTCAAAAAAAATCGTTGAGCCGTTTTGGCGGAAGTGACGAACTGCAAGCTTTGAATGCTTATATCTTCTAAATGCGGATTTTGTCACTGTTTTGGAGCACACTGCCTTATAGATAACCTTAAGACTAACATATTGATACTAACACCCAAACAAACTTTAATTTTGATTTCATGGGGACTTTAAAGCTCATGTCATTAAGAAAAAAAAATGTTTCTTGAACTAATCTTTAACTATATTTTTAAATGTAACTTCCACTGTTTAAAAGTAGGACACTGTCTAATATTAATCGGGAAATTATTCCAATTATTAACAGCTCTTACAGAAAAAGCTGAACGACCAGATTACAGAAATTACAGAACATACAGAAATTAATTAGAATTAATTTTTTTAAATAATTTAATTTCATGTTATTTATACTTTTAATTTTTCGTTAGTACATACAATAAATCAACAACACATTGTAAAATGTGGCTTTTTAGTTATGGACACTGAAGCTAAGTACTGTATAAAAGCAGAGCGAGACAGTATAAACGAGGTGAAATAATGCAAATACGCTGTAGATTTGACCTAAAGTTGGTTGTGCACCACTCCTGCTCCAGGTACGACTGAGAGAGAACCACAATCATCCGGCGACAGCGACTAATGTTCATCAGTAGCTCTGCAGATGGCTCTGAGGATGTGAGACATGATGAAAATGAAAAGATTGAAAAAAAAATCTATAATAATTATAATAATGACATGTACTTTGAATATGCACTTTTACTATAACTTTACTGTTGCATTTAATTTTATTTGTGTACAATATTAGTTAAAGGTGCAGTATGTAATATTGACAGCTAGTGGTTGAAATGGGTACTGCAGTCCAAAATCAAAATATTGGAGAGAGTAGTTTCTCCCGCCCCCTCCGCCTTAGACGCGGGTTGCCAGATTGAGGACACGCAACATGAACGAGCACAACTGACAATGGCAGGCAACAAGCCTTATACTGTAAGTTTATAAGTTGATTTATCTTCATTTTAATATGCCTCTGGTCACAGAGATTTTTAGATGGATGCCTTTTTAGTTCAGGTAGAACCTGCGATCTCTGACCCGGTTAATTTGCTCTCTTAATGGCTGCAATATGCTGTGTTTTCCATCAACTGGCAACCCGGGGTGTCAAAATACTATTGGGCAAATTGGCAGTGGGCGGAATCACACAGACTAAGACAAAAACAGACATTCCGACACGGAACACACATTTCAAAGCAGAATAACTGGCTGTAGCACTGCTTCTCAGACACACAAGTATGTGAACTTAACATGTTCCCTAAATATCTGCAAACATATTATGGTATTTTTTTGCTATAGTACAGTCAAAAAATTACATGCAGCACCTTTAAACCTTCATGCAATTGATTTAATAGACGCTATGGACATTTAAATCTGACTATAATTGTTAGATTTACCAGCTCCAGGAAGGATGTTTGTGTCGTTGAGCAGCAGTTTATGACTGTACTTGTTCTCCAAATGAGGTTTCAGGATGAAGTTGACAAATTTCCTGTCATTCTCATTGTTGACATATGAGATGTAGGCGTCATACATTTTGCCATCTGAGAAAAAATCAGCAAAAAATCATCATGAAATGCAAGTGATATGTTACCACAGATGATAAAGGGCTTTAACATACAGAATGCAGACTAACCATTAAGCTCATACTCTCCGTAAATGTTCCTATACCACAGTTTAAAGTTGAGTCGGCACTTGGAATAGACCACCGCTGCCAGAGCCAGGACAAGCAACAGGACCACTGACGCCACCACTGCCCCGGTGTGACTTGGGGATTCTGTGGATAAAAATTAAATAAACCTTATTATACAGTACACAGAACTGCAGAAAGAATCTGAATATATTTTACACTTTATTTTTAGGGCAATTGTAAGGATAAATGGATGAAGAATATGAGAATTATAGTATAATATGGTGGCAATATTAAAAGGCTAAAACAAGTTTCTTACTGTATTCCTTTACATTGAATTGCGCTGTGCTGTTCCTCACCGTGCAGAAATAGACACCAAAATCAGCCTGATCTCTCAGGGTCAGCGTTAATTCACTGATCCTAATTATGTGACCATCATCAGGGTGCCTGCCAAGTGTTTATGTATATATAAAATCATATTGAACAATATTTTGACTCTACTAAAACCAGTTAATTTACGTTACCAAATGAAGCATATTTTTTAAGCATCAGTATTGGCTGTGTTCAAAATAGCATACTACTCATTGTATTTCCCTAGTACGTGTACTATAAACAGTATGCAAATTTTATGCATTCGGAGAAAACTGATGATCTACAATGCCAAAATATGAAATATACAACAAGAGTACACTGTGAGGAGCATACAATATGTCCCAAAATGCAATCTGCTTGACTTGAAACAGAAATCACTTCAGCCCAGCTTAAACGTTTAACGTCTCACCCTTCACTGATTATTTAATCAAATAGCCAAAAGTGGACTCCTTTACAGAAAATTTGGTTAAAAATCTATTTAAAACAAACTTCTTTTTTTTTAACTTCCAACAAACATGGATGGCTTTTGCTAAAATAAATGAGACATAAAAAAGTTTTGCTAGAACAACGCAGCACACTACCGACTGAAACATATAGCACTGCATAATGTGTAGAAATTGTATGCACTAAAGTATATAGTGTTTACTACAGTATGTAAGCCTGTTTCCATAACAGAATAAAAAAGGAAAACTGCAACTTTTTCATCTCACAGTTCAGACTTTTTCCCTCGTTCTTAATTTTGTTACAATTCAAATTACGTCTCGCAATTCTGTTTTTATCTTTGTTTGTTTCAAGCACAGAATAAAAAATAAAAAAGGTAATTGCGACAATTCTGACCTTTTTCTTGCAATTGCTTGTTTGTATCTTGCAGTACTGAGTTTATATTTCATAATTCTCAGAATGGCAAGAAAAAAAGTCAGAATTGTGAGATATGAACTCAGAATTGTGAGGGAAAAAAGGCACAAAACTGCTTCGAACGAATCATTAGATAATCGTTGGAAAATGAGGTGATATTAAATGCATATTTTGAGAAAACGAAAGCGTTTTTTGACCTTGCATGCATGTAAACCTTTTGACTCCCAAACAATATTATGAACCTTAAAAATGGCTTAATAGGGGCACTTTAATAACCGATACACTGCATGTATCCAGTGTTTGCCACTGCATTGCATCATATACCCACCAGTCTTTTATATTTTGAGGGTAGATGGTGAGGTTGGTAAGTGGTGTGCCGTCCTTCATCCACTCCAGGTGGTCTTTGCAGTCTGAATTGGTGCTGTTCAGACTTATGGAGGCTTTGCAGGTGAGGACCACGCTGTGGCCAAGCATCACTGAAACCGAAATCATTAGATAATCGTTGGAAAATGAGGTGATATTAAATGCATATTTTGAGAAAGCGTAAGCGTTTTTTGACCTTGCATGCATGTAAACCTTTTGACTCCCAAAACAATATTATGAACCTTAAAAATGGCTTAATAGGGGCACTTTAATAACCGATACACTGCATGTATCCAGTGTTTGGCACTGCATTGCATCATATACCCACCAGTCTTTTATATTTTGAGGGTAGATGGTGAGGTTGGTAAGTGGTGTGCCGTCCTTCATCCACTCCAGGTGGTCTTTGCAGTCTGAATTGGTGCTGTTCAGACTTATGGAGGCTTTGCAGGTGAGGACCACGCTGTGGCCAAGCATCACTGAAACCGACTGAGTTCGATCATGCTTGAACTCTGGAGCGCTGCTACAAAGCGGATCTTTGTTTTGAGAGAGAAAAACAAGAAATAAGTGAGTATCAGTGTGTTACAATGGATGAAACCTCACTTTGTGTCAAGTAAACTGTTAGATTCTTTATACAGGTAGATATTTATGGAATGAGCACACCTGAATGACGCTCAGCTAAAAACAATGACTTCTTTATTTGGCGTAACCTTGCTGGAGTCTTGTGGAGGATATCCAATCTCAGGAGAGATGAGTGAAACTCTATTCTGATCCAATGGTGAGGCTGTTTCTCATCAGCACTGCTTCATATTCTTACATTTGAGGAAAAAAAAATCTACATCAACCAATATGGATATGGTATTTTATGCTATAAAATGGAAATGGGTTCATAAAAAGTTAATTTAATGGTCATTCATTATGAAGGTTCATTTGAAACCTTGGCTGGTGATGTGTCCATTATGGACACTGATGTTTACTTCACTGCCAACATAAATATTGTGCATATAGATTCCTGGGAACATGGTTGAGGAGAGATGAGTGAAACTCTATTCTGACCCAATGGTGAGGCTGTTTCTCATCAGCACTGCTTCATATTCTTACATTTGAGGGAAAAAAAATCTACATCAACCAATATGGATATGGTATTTTATGCTATAAAATGGAAATGGGTTCATAAAAAGTTAATTTAATGGTCATTCATTATGAAGGTTCATTTGAAACCTTGGCTGGTGATGTGTCCATTATGGACACTGATGTTTACTTCACTGCCAACATAAATATTGTGCATATAGATTCCTGGGAACATGGTTGGGAAACTCCAATGTGGGCAGAGTTTGGGAGTAGGTCCATAAATCCTTCAACCAACAAGCTTTGGGACTTCTTGTATTGGTCAGAAGCAAGATAATCAGGTCAGGATAGTCAGCTTGACCTTTGACAAATACTTTTTCTGCAGTCCACTCTACACAATCTCTGAGTATTTGAGGTAAAATAGTTGTTGTTTCTATGTGACGTGATGGAAAACACCTTTCCAAGAAAAGGGAGGTGAGGGAAATAATAGCCCAGACCCCCCCCCAATGAGCTGTTTAATAACAAATCCAGTGACCCCGTAGGTCAGTTGTAGCATGAACGACAAGCAGCAAGTGATCAAATACTGTACTGTTTTGAATTAATCTGCAATATGTTAGCCTTAAAGGGATAGTTTACTCAAAAATGAAAATGACCCCATGATTTACTCACCCTCAAGCCATCCTAGGTGTATATGACTTTCTTCTTTCAGACGAATACAATCGGGAGTTATATTAAAAAATGTCCTGGCTCTTCCAAGCTTTATAATGGCAGTGAATGGGTGTTGAGATTCAATAGCCCAATAGAAATTTCACATCATAAAAAGTACTCTACACGGCTCTGGGGGGTTAATAAAGGCCTTCTGAAGTGAAGCGATGCATTTGTGTTAGAAAAATATACGCCTACGTTCTACATCATCTGCTGGAACGTCGTTCTTTTGTGAACGCGCATACAACAGTTAGCGGAAGCTAGAGATTACAGTTTATAAAGTTTTAAATATGGATTTTTTTTTTTTTTTACACAAACGCATTAATTATTATCCCCCAGAGCTATTTTTTTATGATGGATGGATGCACTTTATTGGACTTCTAATTGGGCTATTGAATCTCAACACCCATTCACTGCCATTATAAAGCTTGGAAGAGCCAGGACATTTTTTAATTTAACTCCTGATTGTATTCGTCTGAAAGAAGAAAGTCATATACACCTAGGATGACTTGAGGCTGAGTAAATCATGGGGTCATTTTCATATTTGGGTGAACTAGGCCTTTCCCTTTAAAGAGGTCATATGATGCGATTTCAAGGTTTCCTTTCTCTTTGGGGTGTTACAAGCTCTTGGTGCATAAAGAAGATCTGTAAAGTTGCAAAGACTAAAGTCTAAAATCCAAAGAGGTAAGCTGGTGTACTCCAAAAAAAATGACAACATTCGCATTTAGAGGATATTTAGAAAATATAATCATAGTATCTCACTTACGCCAATATGGATCAATGATTTTGATGACATCACCCTGCACTTCAGCTTCTCATCTAACTTTCAGTCCAATCAAATGCGGTCTACAATCCGAAGCGTCCCACCCCCTACACCATAAATCGTTTACATTAATCCGGATACATTTGAAAATGGCGTTTTCGTTTTAAAAACGCTCTCTAGCATTTTCAAGCGTTGTCCAAAAGTTTCTCAACCACACGGAAATGTTGGAAAACATTAAATCTGCTTTACTGCGCATGTGTAAAGCCTCAAACACTGTAACCCACTGTAAGCGAAAATGCTATTGGCTATTTCATTTGTAGTTTAAATTTTAGTTTTTGTGTTTTGTTTTTAATTAATTTAGACAAAATATTATAGAATTTTAATATTGGTGATTTATCAGTTATCGGCCATAAGATTATTGGTGCTGCATCCCAATTTACTAGTGCACTAGGTTTAGTAGGTTAAGTATGTAGAATGGGACAGTACGCTGGCAATATGCCGGCCCAGCATTTGTGTAAAGTATTGTGTTTCAGGCCAAGGAACCTAACAAAACTGTTTCAGTGGAAAATATAAGATGTAAAGCAAGATTAACTGTATATCCATAATGAAATATGTTTCCACCTTCAACCAGTTCTTAAAGCTGACATTTAACAGCTCATATCTTCGATATCCAGATAGATATAAAGTATCAAGCATGAAACCGAAAGTGCAGAACTAAATTTGCTTGTATTCAAAGCAGGTACAGTATATAGGAAGAAACAATAGCAAGTATTTCCTGTATCTCAACTGGTAGAGCACAGTGCTAGGAATGTCAAAAGATTCAATTACCAGAAAATGGACATAGTGATAAATTCATATCTAGAAAATACTGTCTTTGGACAAATATGTCAGCTAAACTGATAAATGTCAATGCCAAAGATTTAGAGTTATGCAGGAAAAGACTGGCAGAAGAAGGAAAACATTGTTATGAAAGCAAATATTGACCGTAGCAAAACATACTCTTGTTCCAGAACAAATTTACACTGTATTGCTCAGTTTACGGCCACTTTTACCGATGTAGGTAAATCACATGATGTATTACAGCTGCTTTACATACACACACACACAAAATGCCAACATGCTGAAAGCTCATACAGGCGGAAGAGCGATTTGTGTATCATCATGATTACAGGTTTGACAAATGCTTTATGCTGTATGAATGCACCTGACAGGATTTTACAGTATCCCATGGGTTATAAACACTAAGTCACAACTGTTTAAGGGTAATTACAAGTATTTTTAATATCTTTGATCTGTCAGCACTGAAAAGTCACTATTGCACCAGCATTAAGATCTTTTCCCAGTGTAATGTTTAAGTAAGATCATTGTTCAGCACATGCAGCAGCCAGTAACTTCATTCAATCATTAATCAGGGGCAGCTGAGCTAAACAGGCCATTACCGGGTACAAAGTTCCCATTACTGGTTGAGAGGGTTTTCATTCTGGTAGGCAAACAAGATGCTGAATAAATGCTTGCATGGATGGGATGAACAATATTAACCAGAAAAACAGCTTCAATGTAAGGGGTTATCAGGCCATCATCATACAGTATATTTGTTATGTAAACATGTGAAAACAATAAAACTACAGCGATATACATAAAGGTTGAACCATGTTATTAGAACAGGAGTATATTCATGTCTTCGAATGTCAAAAAGACAAAGTTGCCACGTGTTTTAAATGTTAATAACTTAATTAATTACAGTACTGATTGGTCAAAGCAGTGGTTTGACATATTTGTACATTTACATTTTACTATTTCAGGATTTTTTTTTTCCACGATTGTTTTTCTATTAAAACTCATAATAGTCTGTGAAATGGCAGATTCCACTGTGACAACTTACCCCATATAGTGACAAGACACCGTGCCCCACAAAAGGTCAATGTGTTAAATGAACCATATCTTTTTACAGGAGCAATAGCGGTAAAAATACAAATATAGTTCTGTAAAAAAGCCTTAAAATGGTCAACACAGAAATTGAAAAACTAATATTCATAGTAAAAACTGACAACTAGCCCCGCGCTCCCCTATATATCCCTGATAGATAGATAGATAGATAGATAGGTTTAAATAAAGACTTACCCATAGACTGAGTAAACGCGAGACATGTTAGATAGAGAATCAAATGACAACGCCACATCGCAGTCCTCTCATAAATCCTTTCATACGAGTAAAATAGCTTGTCAAGTTGACTAACTCACTTTAACTGTCAAATATACTGGAGATACTGCCAGCAGTGCGTGTCATGTCTCGCTGAGCAGCTGCATGTAAACGCGGAAGGTGCGCAGCGGTTAAACAGAGTCTGTCGCCTGGAATCACTGTATTGGGAATACAGCGTCACGTGGTCCTGCTCACCTGCGCGCTTCTTTGAACAGGTAAGCGGGCGTTCACAAAACACGCTCTTGCGTTAAGCACAGCTGGACGGGGCGCTGTGAGATGGAGTAAAAGTATCTCGAGACGCGTTTTTTTTTTTAAAGCTTTAACTATTTTTAATTAACCTGACACGATTTGTGTGCGACTGCAAAACGCGACGCAACGTTCAGACGCCAGTCTGACGCATGTGTACATTACCAGTAACTAAAAATATAGCGCAGACGGAACGCAAGAAGTTACGCGTCCGGTCTCGAATGAAGCATCACAGCAGATAGTTGTGGTCTGTGAGGATATCTAAGAGGATAAAGCGACAGTTCACATAGCCTAAGTTTGTGGAAAAATGGTGACAACTAGCATCTAAACATTCACTTAATTGTATAGGCCTATAAAAAGTATTAATCCAATTTAAAAGTTAATGTTTTTGTCAACTGCCCAGTTCATTGAGGAAATATCATATTAAACACACACTATTTCATCCAATTTAAAAAGGGGTCATATGATGCTGCTAAAAAGAACATTATGTTGTGTATTTGGTGTAATGCAATGTGTTTATGCGGTTTAAGGTTAAAAAAACATTATTTTCCACATACTGTACATTATTGTTTCTCCTCTATGCCCCGCCTTTCTGAAACGCGTCGATTTTTACAAAGCTCATCGGTCTGATCAGCGAGGTGTGCTCTGATTGGCCAGCTATCCAGTGTGTTGTGATTGTAACACTCCAAAAAAGAGAAAGGAAAAATTAAAATCACATCATATGACCCCTTTAAATATGAAAACGTACTTACAGGCTGTTCTTTGAAACACATGGCGTCTCCACGACATGGTGGCGGCAGCAACAACGCTACAGCAAGAATAAAAGTTACTTCTTTGCGTGAACATTTGAGAGGTGTTATGCAAATCTTCCCACACAGTGACGTAGACATGTGGGGGCGTGTTTAAACGAGCCGTTTTAGGAGGGCGTGGACGAGTCTTAACTTTTGTAAAGAATATCTCTTTGAGGTTGAGACTTTAGTCTTTGCAACTTTAGGGATTTTATCTGTTCATGAACAGCTTGAAACACTCCAAAGAGAAAGGAAAACTTGAAATCCCATCATATGACCCCTTTAATTTACTGCTTTTATGGAGAAATCTCTGCAAACGTTTGTACATACTGAGTACTTCCATCACAGGCAGTGTATTGTTTCCAAGCTGTGGATCAGAAAGGACCTGAATGACCTGCTGAACAAGATGAAGGTGGCCTTCAGATGCTGAAGAAGATGCATTGTGATGAAAAACACCGCAGGGGACAAACTGGAGTACAAGCTTCAACAGAACAATGTGAAGCAGGATTGGAGGAACCAAACACTGACGAAAAACAGCCTGATAACCTTCATTAGCCAACACAAACTGACTGCCAGTTACTGTCGCTTACTTGGAGAGTGCATTAATAATATATTAACAATAATATACAGTAAAACAAAAAGCATATATCAAGTTTATTTTGCTGCTTTGTAAATCATAAAGAGTCAAGAAACAACAGAAAATTCACGTTACTCTTGTGAATGAGTCCTTACTTCATTCATTGCATGAGAGTTTTTGTAGACAAAATATGGCAAGAAATGAATTTTTCATCAGCATATACACAGATATATCCATAAATATTTCTACCTTCAACAAATAATATATTAACTCACATTTCATTCCACTAAAAATTACAACTAAAAACATTTTACAGATTTCTTTTTTTTTTCTTTTTGCCACAACCACAGCCATTTCCTTTCCGTTTCCTACAAACAGATGAACAGATTTTTCATAAGCCATTCTTGTTTTAAACAATATGCTATAATAACTACAGGCCTTCAGGTCCGCGTTTGAAGTGTCATAAAGAAAAAGTGGAGGATAGACATCTTGACACAGACTTGTGGCATTGGAAATTTCTTTCAAATTCAACACGTCAAACGCGTTCGGTTTTAGATTATAATTAATATAGTGATAATGTTTTTTCAAAAGCTGCCGCCGTACAAAACATTGTGGCACTAATTTCTGTATAAAATGACTTCTCGTGGCAGCTAGGCTGAAAATGAAATCATATTGGCCAAGTTATACATAAAACATTTTGGTAACACTTTATAATTACTTTCATGATTATAATAAGTCCATAACAGACAGTATTAAACAAGCATATAATGTTGAACAGAATGCTGATTTATAGGGGCCCATCTGTGTCATTCCATAATCATTTTAGAAATAAAGTAATACAGAAATCAATAATTAATTCAAATTATAAATTAAACAGAAAATATAATATTCAATTGATTGGTATTATTATTTCACTGGTATTATTTGAGATCCTCAGCTGCTACATTTTGCTTTTATTTATTTTATATACACAATTATAAATATATTTGTATTATTTATTTATATTTTTTGATTATCCATATGATCATGATCGATTGCTTGATTTATTTAATGTACATTCACATAAAAAACTGCCATGAAGCACTTGAATGTACATGAACTGCTGGTCTGCTAAATATTATATGCCGTTTGTCATTATTGAAAGTTATTATAAAGTAATTCCCACATTGGATCGGTTTATTTTCCATTTTCAAATAGACGTGTACTAGTCGATTGAAATTTTGGTTTGGTGGGAGACAAAGAGAGAATAAGAAAACATATAGGAACACTGTTATGAAAAACACTTTCATGACTTTGAAATGAAAACTCAATTCAACCCACTTCAGTTCCTTCTTTCTCCAACATTTCTCCCGATCTGACCAGCAGTACCTTGTCAACACATTTTTTCCCTGCAAAAAGCATTCAAATATTTATATTCCAAATTTTATAATTAATCATTAATAATAAAAACATACAAAAATGTGATTCGAGAACTCGTATTTTACACAATCATATTCTTTTAAAAACTGTATAAATATGAAAACATTTGAACTAAATTCCACATCGGCCCATCATCCAGAACAAGAGTTTTGTACCAAATGTCTGAGAGATCAGTTGTAAGTGCATATCCAGCTCTGGGTTGGTTTTCTGCACCTCTTGGCAAACGTCCTGTCAAATGTAGTCCGTATGTCAAGTAATGGATATTCAAGATGGCTGTTGAATGCCTGTTTTGTTATATCTAGTGGTTGGACTTGTAGTGCAGGTGAGGCATCAGACACTGGCACCAGATAATGAACAATAGCTTGTCTATCTTCTTCATGCCAAAGCTGAAATCATCACATGTTCGGTAAATGAAGTTCTCATGTGAGGCCGCATTGATCCCTGTCACTCTGTGGCCCATCTTCAGGGTGAGTACGGTCACCTCGGGGAAGGTCTCTTGTAGTATCCTCTGTGCCAGTGTAATAATGGCAATGTCAAACATTTCTTGATGTGCTCCAGTTCGGCCTGCATACGATCTCTCTTTAGCGCCAGATTGTGCTTCTGTGCCAACAGGTCCTAGTTATGGGGGAAAAAGAGAAAACATACATACATACATAGTTTGTTTAAACAATATTTATTCAAAATTCACAAAATAATCCATTGGCAGTTGGTAGATTTCGAAGCTGACACAAGGGGGAGCTAACATTTCTGTTAATGTGATTGTCAACAAGGACAAATACTGGCCAGAGTTTCCCTTACAACAACATACAGTAAAGCCCCGTTCACACCAAGAACGATAACTATAAAGATAACAGTATATATTTCTATAATATTTAATTATTTTATAATTATTAACACATTAATAATCATACACACACACACATACATTATATATATATTTTTTCATCAACATATATATGTGAACCTGGACCACAAAACCAGTCATAAGGGTCAATTTTTTGAAATTGTGCCATGCATCACTGGAGAATTTAACTAGCTAATTACAACGGTTTCCAGAACCCAAAGTAACTTTGACGCAGTCAATCGTTCAACTATATAGAAATGCCGTTAAAGATGACGTCACGCAGATGCTTCTGCTAAGTTTGGGATCAAATTAAAGTCAGATATTATTGCTGTAAATAACGAACATGTCATCTGAGGACCATTTTGCTACTTTTTGTTCTCGGTTGTTTTGCTTTATTTTTCAGTAGTAAGCATTTAAAAAAAAAAATTAAATCATTACTCAAGTTGTTTCACAATTTTTATAAATAAGCAAGATATTCAGAAAGATGGTGAATGTTGTAAATATTATAAATTATATAAAATGATATAATAATGATAATATTTGTACAAAATATAAATCTAATAAAATTATATATATAATTTATAAAATACACACACACACAATCATTACATGATTACATGGTTAAAAAAAAAATATTCAGGCAAAAACACACCTGAATGAATATTCAGGTTAATTAAAAGTTAAGCCAAATCTACAGCACTTGTGGAATAATATTTGCAAGAAATATAAAAAGAAAAATCTGAGGGATTGCAATGGAAGTGAATTTAAAACCATTAAAATACTCAATGAAACAGCCCCAAGATGTAAACAATGTGTGTGAAGAAATGCTTACTAACCGTTTCTGTGTAAAAAAGAATAAAACATAAAAAATATAATAATCTTTAAAAAATAAAATAAAATATGCAATAATATACAAATACAAACATAATATGCTCTTACCCTCATGCTATGAGAAAGCTGCTCAGATGTCAGAGTGAGATTGTAATGCTGCGTCTCCAGACGTCTACACTCGCTCTGGAGAACCTGCTGCTCTATACTTCTCTCTAAAAGAGAGAGAGAGAGAGAGGTCAGCAATACACTATAATCATACTGCAGAAAGCAAACATACACTCTGAAAAGTCAACATTCTGCAACCACAGACAAATCAAAGCAGCCTAAATG